GAGAACTCAGTATAATAGCACACTTCCTTCTCTTTGTCACTTTCTGTCAGTGTAGAAGACCAGCCCTGTACTGTTTGTTGATGGTTGTTTGTCTGCTGCTAGGATGCCTGTCTGTTAGACTGTGGCTGGGGAGATAGCAGTGACCCTAGTGAAGGTCACACTTGCAGTGTTCTCAGTTCACTCTCTGACTCAGTAGTTTAGTGTACCTAGGGAGTGAGGTCAGAGACACTTCCGACATCTGCTTTAGTCTGTGCCCTAATCTGTCCTACCTTGTAAATCTGGAAGTCAGCACCGTAGGACCACAAGTCACATTGTCAATTAGTCCTTCCGGACTGTTTTGTTTCAGCAGTGTCTTTGCATCTTCTTGCCAGGGGGACTTGATTCAAACTCTAATTTTTAATCTCAGAAATCAAAGATTATAGTAATGTTTTTCTCTTCCCAGAAGGGATTAGGGTCCTAGAAAATTAGTCTTCCAGACTTTAGCAAGTAAATCTGCCTACGAAGAGGCTAAGGCTGCTCGCCTAAGCTGTTGGAGTTTCCCCCTCCCAGTGCCAGCCATCTCCATCCCCAGTCTTAAGGACATGGACACACTCTTTACCAATTAAGGGAATTGTCAGGCGGTTTTGCTCTGAACAGAATTAATCTAAGCGTGATGTCTAAGGTTCCTGTCCCTAAACAAGAAAGTGTCACCGTTTTTAAATGTGCTCCTTCAGAGAGCTCTCCATTAATTTTAGACAGCTGTTATATACTTTTAAAAGTTTATAGTGTATGTCACCAGTTGCTCCCTGGAGAATTGTGCTAGTTTACACAACAGCCAGCAAAAAATAGATTGCTAGGAAAACATTTTTGTTTATCTATTGTGGTGCTGGGGTTCAAACTCAGGGCCTTGTGAATGCTTGCCAAGCACCACCATGTCCCCAGTAGAAAAAAATTTAGAACTCAAACTGTGCTTTTATTTTATTTATTTATTTATTTATTTATTTATTTATTTATGTATTTATTTATTTGGTACTGGAGATCAAACTCTGGACCTTGTGCTTGCAAGGCAGGTGGCAGAACTACTGAGGCAAATCCCCAGCCCCAAACTGTGCTTTTAAATGTCAAAAATAATTAGAATTATTCTCATACTAGATTCAGACTTTTCTCCCAAGATTTCTTGGCTATTTGCTAAATATTAATTTTATGTGGCCATGTGATTTGTGATCTGCAGCATTTTGAATAATGTCTTCTATAATAGAGTAGGTGTATAGGTGAGAACAAAATAATAAGAATATAGGACTTAGATCATTAACAGTGTCTTACTGCTGATGTAGTAATACTGTGTTTTTAATCACTTTTGATGATGGCAGAAGAGGCTGCTTATTTACTAAGGTCTCCTAAATTCAAGGTGCTTTATACTATGTATAATACCTAATCTAATTCTCAAAGCCAAACTATGTTGTTATTACTATTCCCATTTTAAATGATACTGTCATTTCTAGATGAAGAAATTAAAGTTAAGTGTGGTAGGGCTAAGGATTTAGCTCAGTGGTTTTGCTGCCTGCCTTGCAAGCGCAAGGGCCCGAGTTCAATCCCCAGTACCCCCAAAAAAACCCAACAAAAAACAAAAGCTAAGTGTGGTAGTGCATGCCTGTAATCTCAGCTAGTTGGGAGACTGAGGCAGGAGGATCACAAGTTTGAGGCCAGCCTAAAAAACTTTGAGAAACCTTGTCTTAAAATTTAAAAGGGCCAGGGATGTAATTTAGTGGAAGAATAAATGCCTAGCATTAGCATTCATGAGGCCCTGAGTTCAATTCCCAGTACCATCCCCCCATCAGAGAGGTAATAATATTATCAAAGTCACAGCAAAGAAAGGTCAGTGTTCCTCTAAGAGAGCCCTGTCTAGCACTGGGTACATAGTTCCCCAGAGTCAGGACTTTGACTGTTAACCTATTTATCTCTCACCTTCTCTAAAGTCAGAGTGATATCCAGGAGGCCCTCACTGTTGCATGATTTGCACAGAATTTGTAAAGAGTTAGGGCCAGCTACAAAGTGAGAGGCATAGTCCCCCAGACCTCTTTCACTTCCAAACTTCCAACACTAACTGCAAGCTGGCAGGAAGGCATTCCCAAACCACTCTCAGGGGTCTCTCTCATTAAAGGACTCCACAGAACACTCTAAACACACTTACACTTGCAGTCAAGGTTTGTTACAGGGAAAGTACGCAGATTAAATTCAGCCGTGGGAAGACACGCATATGCAGGGGGTCCAGGAGAAATACCTAAGTAGAGCTTCTGTTGTTCTTTCTCTGTGAAGTCAGGACACACATTCTTCCATTTGTGTGTGTTGATACACAGGAAGTGCTTCCAACCCAAGAAACTCTCCCAAGCAAGGTGCTGAGAGCTTTTATTGAGGCTTTCCTACATTCATCTTGCTGATTGGTTGCCCTCCTGTTTGATCAAGTACTGTCCACCCAGAAACCCACCCTAAATCTCATTGTCACTCTCTGGCAAATCTCAGGAAAAGGTTATCTTTGACAAGGGCAAAGAGCAGTTCTCTTCTGTGGCCAGGTTAAACTCTTCACTATACAAGGGTCCCTGTCTGGTTGAGTTGTGTCCTGCTTCCTGGCTGCACAAGATGTCTGCCCTTTAACGGGTGGATCACTTCAGCTGAGCTTCAGAGCCTGGCAGAGAGGCTGAGGCATGCCTGGATCATGGATGATTATCAAGGATACAGGTTTACATTCTCTTACAACCCTGAATCAGCCCCTTGTCACTCCGTAGGGTAACCAAGCAGCATTTGTATATCATGAATGAAGTTATAAAATGACTTCAATGTTTACAAAGTTTTCCTAGTATTAAAATGTATAAATGAATTATGATTTTTTTTATTCAGACAAAGTTCAGTATAATTAACCCTACAACATACATACACACCCTATCAGAGGAAGTATGTATATACATTTGTATATATCACTGCGCCAAGGTCATGCTTCATCTGTACTTTTTAGCATCACTGGACAAGTTCACCTAAAGTGGGTATTTTCCTAAGTAAGTGCTTATTATTTACCATCAATCTTCATTATTCATAGGTTACATATTTGTAAATTTGCCTACTCATTAACATTTATCTGTAACCCTGAAACAAATACCAGTGGCATTTTTTAGATCATTTACAAATATTCACAGTGCGGTAAAAAATTTGAGACATGTGACCTGCCTGTACCCAGCTGGTCAACTCTAGCTCATCCTTTCAGTTCTCTAAAGAATCCTTTTTATCTGGTTAGAGCCATGGGTTTTGGGGGGGTTTTGTTGTTTTGTTTTTTGTATTTTTGTGGATGTTCGATGGTGGTAGTGGTAGTGGTAATGATTTTGCTGTTTAAAATGCCCCTGAAACATAATGTTGCAGTTCCACCTGTGCAAGTTCTGTTGTCCTCAAGTGTGAGAAAGCTGCACTGTGTCTCATGGAGAAAATACATGTGTTAGCTAAACTTACTGGCAAGAGTTACAGTGTTGTTGGCTGTGAGTTAGATTTTACTGAATCAATAGTATATACTAAATAAGGTGTTTTTAAAGAGAAACACACACAAAAAAACAAGGTTAGGTACTAAGTAATGAAAATGCCCATGACCTGAGGCACAGGAATCTGTATTTCCCATAAGAGGAGTGGTTCCTATTTGTTCCTAAATTCAGTGTTAGTGATAATGAAAAGCGACTGTATTTGCTGCATTATTCATTTATAAACACGTTTTTTAACTCTTTAAGCAGACTTTTCTTTTTACTTTTTTTTTTGTACTAGGGATTGAATTCTCTATTTTCTTATCTCTCTTATTAGTGTCTTGCTGTGTCTCTCTGACTCAGTGTTTGTATAGTTTGTGATAACACATCATAAATGAAGTGTGAGGTTGTGTTATAATGCTTGGGAATGGAGGGCTGAGTGTTTTGATCCTGTGACCATTTTACTTGAGGTTCATGTTTGCCTTCTCAGTAAACCTTGGCTTTTTTTTCTTTTTTCTTTTTTTGGTACTGGGGATTGAATTTGGGACCTTGTGATTGTGAGGCAGGCGGTGACACCCTTGAGCTAAATCCCCAGCCCCATTAAACCTTGGATTTGTCCTGCCTCCTTGGGCCAAGATTTTTAGGACTAGGTTTCCTAGTCCAATTAGGTTTCCTAATTGTTCATTTTAGATGTCAGCAGACCCAGGTGATGTGGCTGGCTGAAGCTTTCTCTTCCAAAAACATGAAATGTATGCTGATTTGGCTACAGAGTCTTGCAGGCAGGGCTTTTAGCTGCCAAAATGATCCCTCAGCTATGATTTCCTTCCCTTACTCTGATTACTCCATCTCCCTTCTGTGCTTGTCTTCCATCTCTTTCCACTGCCTCTGCACACTGTCTCCTCTATCTGCACTCAAGCAGGGGGAGGGAAATGGGCTTGCAGTGCAGACATGCACCTCCTGTTCTTTGTACTTCCCTGGAGACACTTTACCATGGAAGTGTTTCTCATTTCCTGGGTTTGATTGTCCAGGACGCAGGAGGACTGGAATCTGTACCCCGCTGCTCTCCTCTCTTTGTGTTAGTAAAACTAATTACATGGGAATCCCCCAAGTGTAATGGGTACAAACAGAGAAATACTCAGTATTTTTGGAGAATAAAATTATCTGGTCAATTTGGTTGAAAAAGAGAAATCAAGTGGTTTCAGGGATCAATAGTGAAATAATTGTTAAACTCAAATAAACAATGACTTTATTGACTATTACTTCAGTGGTTGTGAGAAGTGAGTTCCAGCAGCAAATACTAATCATAATTTTATGATAAGCAGTTGAATAAATATAGTAACTTCCTTTGAACAGTTTCATAAAACTATACTCTAAGAAAGTAAGAACCAAGATTTAAAAACCTTTTAATACCTTTTAATGCCTAGTACAATACCTAGGGCAAATAGAACTCAACCAGTATATACTAAAGATTAAAATATCTTGCTTAAAATATATTCAGTAATATTAATATGTTTGTTCTTTCAGATACAGATGAATATAGACCTCCTGTTTGGAAATCCTACTGTAAGTATACAAATTTAATTGTGTGAGGAGTTGTGCTTTGTAAGTGATATAAAAATATTAGGATTATTCAATATAAAGATTCATTCCATTGTGTATCCATTATTGAAAAATTTAATTCAAAACAAAGTTTGGGAATAGCATAAAAAAAAATTATGGTGAAATGAATGCCTCCACAAAATCTATATGTGGTTTGCATGTCTGTAGTGCAACTCATCCCCTCTGAGCTTGCAAGATTCCAGGTAGTGGAACTTGAGCTCACTTGTTTAGAATGACTGATAAAACTAATGCAAGGGAAAGCTTTGAATTCAAGCAGTGTAACTGCTTTGATCCTGACACTTTATGTGATAAAAGGAATATATACATCATGATAAGGCAGTAGGCTATCTTAGCAAAAAGAATATATAAAAAGAGGTAAAAGGAAACTTTTTTTTTTTCCTATGGAGAATGAACTCAGGACTTTGCACTTGCAAGGCAGGAGTGGTGCTGCTGAGCTAAATCCCCAGACAGAAAGTCATCTTTTTTAATAGCTGCTTTCTCAAAATAAAAAAAGTAGATTTTTATTATACTGCTGAAGAAAGAGGAATATTTGATTTGTGTTTTGCTCTCTAAACTTTGCACTAGAATAAATATTTCTTCAAAAGAGTCTACAATTTTAGTTTTTTATTTTCTCTTCCCTGTTTCCTAGAGAATATTATTTTATCAAATAAAATATATTCTTGATGTTTTAAGAATAGAAATAGGGTTAATATAATCAAAGTCATTTTTAATAAACTATGAAAGCACTATTGTAGAAACAGTACTATATATAGAGTTAGTTGAATAAGCAATCTAAGAAACCCGTTCTTTAAATGCATATTATTAACATCTTTGTAAAAGTGGAGAGTTATTCTAAAAAATGGTTTTTTTGAAACAGGGGTATCACTGTGTAGTTTAGGTTGACCTTGAACTCATAATCCTTCTGCCTCAGTCTCCTAAATTTTGATGTTTATAAGTTGCTAAAATCTGTTGGGTAAAGGAGAATTACTGTAATTCAGGTTCTTATTGGTTTATGTTCCTGTAAAAACAGATAGTTTTATTTTCATAGTTGCCACTTTAGGCTAATTATAATAAGTAAAGTATGAATAAACTCTAAATATAACCATAGGTAATTTTCCTCCCTGCTGGTACCTGTTTTTTTTTCTTTGGGGGAGGAAAGTTCTTAAGAATATGTAGAAATGGCTAATGTTCTTCATCTGCTGAAGATTTTTGTCTCATAATCTCTTTGGCTAGAAGCCCCTTTCAAATTCTTTTTTTTTAAATTTCTTTATCTTTGACCTTTTATCTCAGACTTGTGCCCTGCACGTTTTTAGTGTAAGAATATTTACAGCATCTCAGATGGTTACTGAGTTTATGGTGATTTTATTTTCCTCCTCAGGATTATTGATTAGTGAATGTGGTTTATACAGTTGTATTTTCATGTCTTGCAGTAGCTACCATTTGTTTTTAAAAATGGTATATATTTCTTTTTGGTGACAGTTCCTTTACTGAATTTTTTTTATTTCTCTTAATGAATTCAGTACCTGAACTTGCCACCATCATTTAAAAAGTATAAACATGGAAGGAATTATTAGATGATTTATCTTTTGACTATCAAATGAAAAAGTTCTGATTCAAGGACATTAATAGCCCAGTGGCACTGCACCTCCTCGCAAGCGCAAGGTCCTGAGTTTGACGCCCAGTACCAAAAAAAGAACAAAAACAAAAAACCTGAAATTTAAAATCAGGCAAACACATGGGAACCAGTTTTGACTTTAAGATACCAATTTGTGATCTCTGAACTTGAAAAACAATGTATTGTCTCTAGGAACTGAGAATTTCATTAATAAGCATATAAACATTGACACATCTAAGGTGATTAAAAATGTTAGGTACTATAATCATATCCTCTCATCTTGAATTTAGCTATTAACTTGTGAGAAATCATTTAATGATCATACCAATTTAAATTCAACTAAGTTCTAGTTCAGATTATCAAAAATTCAAACTAAGGGAGAAGTGCTTGAATTAATTAGACCTTACTACTGTGTGTAATTTTTAATGATCCTTTTGATAAATGTTCCCTGAATCCAAATTTGCTGTATTTTGTTACAAAGTATCCAGAGGCTTCCCTTATTTATTAAAAATGAATCTTAAAAATCAGCTGATCATTGATAGCGAATGAGGAGGCATTTGTCTAAAAAATCTCCAAGAAACAGAACTATATCCTTTTGGACAATTAGAAGGACTGAAAGAAATTGAAAAGTAACCTTATGTCACTTGATGTTAGAAAAAACAAAAAACTACCTTTTGAAACTGATAAAAACAGACTGATACCTGAATCAGTTCTCATGTGACAATATTGTCACTGCTTTTTTCATACTAGCTTCATGGTTGCTCTGTGAGTGGGTGAATTCTTTTTGTTTGTTTGTTTTGGGGTTTTTTTTGTTTTTTGGGGTTTTTTTGGTACTGGGGATCAAACTCAGGACCTTGCACTTGAATGGGTGAATTCTTAGTGATGATAACTGGATACTACACTATTTGTGCTTTGAATCACAACAACATTTTACTTTCTCTAGTAACTTTTGATGTTCTTTTTGGCTATCACTCAATTTCATAATTGAATTTTATAGGTGACAGTGCTTTTCAGACCATTTTATTGGCAAAGAAAAATGAATAATCTTTTGAACTGAATTGTTCTGAAACTAGCAGAAATGTGAACTCAATTTTTACTTTACAGTTACAGTTACCGATATGAAGGAATGGACATAAAGAATCCTCCTTTCTTATGAATCATGTTTTGGCTTCTCTTAAGGAGAATGGAGATTTATAGGTGTCTTTGGGTAATGCACATGTGCCGTCACTATCGGGGCAGACATATTTGCTTTCAGGGTTCACTTTCCCACATCTCAGAATTGCTCCTTCACATCACCTCTTTAATCTCTTATTGCCTTTTTTTTTTGGTGGTGGTCGTGGTGCTAAGAATTGAACCCAAGGCCTGTGGATGCCAGGCAAACACTCTCCCCCTAAGCTATGGTCCCAGACCTCTTTAATCTCTAAAACTATACTCACAGAAGTGTTTTTTAATATACTAACTCTCACAATAAAATACAAGTGTCTGAAACTGTCCTTAACATATTATAACATATTTCAAACCTTACTGAGGAAATACTTTGTTTTTTGTTTGTTTGTTTATTGAGACAAGGTCATACACTGTTGTCCAGACTAGCCTTGAATTTGGAGTGATCCTCTTCTTCAGCCTTTTGATGCTAGGATTATAGGCATTTGTCACCACATCTGGGTTTTCAAGTTTTGAACAGTATAGCTATATCTTCTCAGTTCCTTTCAAATTACTCTGATGTTATCTCTTAATGATGAACTCAGACTGCATCCTGGTAATCAAATATTATTATAAAGAATTTTAAAATAATTTCAGTCACATATAATAATAGCTACTCTTTATTGGGCTTTTACTACATCCCGAATACTATTTAAATCTTTAGCTATAAGAAGTTAATTAATCCTTATAGTTATTTGTGAAGTAGAAACTATTACTCCATTAACAAACAAGGAAAACTGAGGCATAGCATGCAATATTAATGGCATAACCCTATTGTTCACATTACAGGTGGTTTAAGAATTCAAATTCTTCTACCTGCCTCGCAAGCGCAAAGTCCTAAGTTCGATCCCTGGTACCAAAAAAAAAAAAAAAACACAAATTCTTAACCACGATCAAAAATTCCAACCTAGGGGCTGGGGATTTAGCTCA